GGAGACCATGCTGCTGCCCCTAGCCAGCAGCTCAGAGCCTCACCATGCTCCACAGCCGCATCTTCAGAGGACACCACTGAGATGGCAAAGCCTGCAGAGACCAGGAGAAGCCAGGCAGGCTGGGGGAGGGGAGCCAAAGCATCCTAGAGGGCATCTTTGCCTCCTCCCAGGCGGCAGGAGACTAAATCCAGAGCAGCGCGGCGAGGGCGAGCTGCCTCTCAGCACAGCCCCACCTCACCCAGCCAGCGCCAGGCGCCCCCCGCCCTGCCACTGCCCACCCTTCCTGGGCAAGTGTGCACTTCATTGTTGGTGCAAACAAAGGAGCGGTTTGTGTCTGCCGAAGAGAAAGGAAGTCGGAGGCAAAATCATCCAGCAGCCCTGGATATATGCAGATTAAGCTGCAGAAGGTTGCATTAACGTAGCGTTTTCCAGACATCAGTTAATCCCCCCGGCCGTGCTCTGTCTCCGTCTCCCTGGCAGAGGTGGGCTGTCTCACCTGCGGCCACAAAGGCAACCGGCGCCCACTTACAAACCTGACATCCTTCACCCGACACTTCCCACAAGGCCAGGCAAGCTGCTGGGTAGGGACGGGTGCGAAACACAAGCGATGTGCCCACCAGCATGCCCGTGGGCATCGCTTTGGCAAGGAACTTGGTCTATTCTTATCGAGGAAAAATGAGGATGCTGGGATTCCCACTAGCTGTCTGGGGACCGAGCTATGGACCGACAGGCTGTCAGTCTCCGAGTGGATGTCTGGCTACAGGATGAGTGGAAGGGAGAAGCGCTTTCTTGCTGTTTGTCCTTCAGGGACGCATCCTCTGCTGCCCTGCCCCCATCACCTCCAAGATGGCCCAAGGGAAGGGTTTTGCCCGGCTGCCTCCCCCGGTGCTTGCTGGGATGCCCTGCTCGGTCTCCGTGATGAACCCCAGGTCACACGGTGGCTGCTCGGTGGTCTTCCCAGCAGCAGTGTGGTGCTGGCAGGCCTCGGTTTGCCATGGCCACTCCCTGGGTCCCAGGTTTCGGCAATCACGACCTCACTCCTCTTGCCCTGCAGCTGCTTAGGAGGACCTCGAGCATCAGCAGGAGTGTGGGGGTTGGATGAATCCAGGTTTAGAAAAGCATCACCGGGCCATCCGCCCTCCAAAGGCTTTTCCCAACCGTAATTCCCAACAATTCCCAGCACCTGGCGAGAGCCCGGGCACCCTCCCTTCCCTGCCTGGTGGAGACACTGATAACGTCGTGGGGCAGCCAGGACTGGACCCGTAGGCTCTCCCTGCCCGGCGCTGCAGCACGGCGACCCCGAGGACGCCCGTCGGAGATGCAACTCCTCCCTTCTGCTCCCATTTCTG